ATGCGGTCACTTTGTTCCTTGAGCTGTTTCTCCGAGGTTAGTACTAAATTTTGTAAATCTGAATTAATTGGGTTACTTGACCCTCCATCACGAGATTTGCTAGGAGTTCCTCCACTGCCTGAGTTAACGAGTCCTAAGCGAGGATTTTCTAAGGTGTTGTTTGGAGTTGATGTTGGCGGCACAGCTGGTAACTGGTTAGCGAAGGCCTCAAGAGCATTGCTGACCTGTTGAGCGATTAACTTCTTCAAAGATTCGTTGATAGCCTCATCATTTTCAAACTGTTCATTTGCATTTGATTGAGATCCATCATGAGTTACTTCTCGAGATTGTCGAGGAGAATTTCAAGGAGAAAGGACCGAGGTTCCATCGCCTTGTTGATTCTCCTAGAATTGACGGTCTCCTTGATTGTTGTCATTGACATTTGACATGATTGATTTGAAAGAAGGTTTATTTAGGAAGTAATAGATCATCAGATTTCCGGTAACGGAACCAATTTGTTTAACAAAAAAATAATAATTTCTGTCAAAGCTTGCTATTAGAAGAACTCGGGTTACTGATAATCAAATAAAAATAAGAATAATTGATATGAACAACTGCAAGATAGATAGCAAAGTAAATCAGTGTATTCCAATAGTATTTCGTGTCCTCACAAATGTTTATTCCTTATATTTTTAGTTATTTCTAAGTAATACATTTTTTCCCCATAATGGAGTTATTATGGGCAATTAATGACATTTAATGTAACGTTATAATTAGCAATCGTAACTGTTCAGTACAGATTCTATAACGTTTCCCGTAATTAATGCTCATTAACTATCAATAATACGTATCTATCCTTTTTGCTATCTAGGTTCATTCCTCCGATGCTTTTCCAAATTATCAAGAGGTTCGAGCACCCTTCCCTTCTGTTTTTCTTGGATATCTGCTCGTGTCTGTTAAGGCTCATGCCCCTTTAACTATTCTCTGCCAGCTGTCATTCTTTTACTGATCCACGTGTCATGACATATCATCACATAATAAATTCTAAATACTAACTTGAATTTTCCCAATACAAATAGGATTCCAAAAGGTAATTATGTACTATTATGTCCTAAAACTAATAAGATTACAAAGCTAATGTCTAGAATTCCAATTACGTCCTTTTATTCTGAGTTATTATGCTTAATATTAAAAGGTTATTTTTGTAATCCAACATTTTATTCATGCTTTTATAATAATATAGATAGATAGATATAGATATAAATAGATAAATTCGTTGAAGAATATGAATCCTAGTGTGCATCGTATATAAATTCTAGTTAATTACTATTCTATCCAATATGAAATAAGTTTCTTTTGAGAAATATGCAATATTGAGGGCATAAAAGTCTGTTAATATTTCAAGGATATATTTGTTGTTCAACATTTAGTATAAATTATTCGTGCTTTTATATATATATATATATATATATATATAGAGAGAGAGAGAGAGAGAGAGAGAGAGAGAGAGAGATNCTTCATAAAGTTAAAGGTATGGTGGTTGGATACCTCATATTATTTATTTTTCTTTACTACTTGAGACGTGAAAGGGATCTCTTTGAGGTTATGTTGATTTAAAAAAAAAATTTCTTTAGTTAATCTTCCGTAGGTATGTTTAGTCATTTGACAGTTGTATGATATTTAGTATCTATATTTATTCATTTTTATGTTGCTGCAAATATATAGACGTTTTTTTTAAAGTTTCATGATAAGCTTTTAATATGTCTTCAAAATATTTTAAAGTTTTAAACTATATTTAGGGATGTGGAGTACTTTAACTTGGAGTTTTCTTGGATTTAGTGTCACGACCCAAATTTCATTAAAGATTGTGATGACGCTGGACACCACTGTCAGACAAGCCAACACTAAATAATCAATTTAGTTCTCATTTTAGTATTTTTGAAATCATGATTTTTCTTCAATTTAATAGTAAAAGATGGACTTTACAAAATAAATAATAATATTTTTAAAAATTTCAATACTGAATAACCCATAAACATCCCAAAACCCGGTATCACAAGTGCATGAGCGTTTACTAAGGAATAAAATAAAATACAATAACTGTCCGGAATACAATTTGGACAGAAAGGGAAATACCAATACTCCGAAGGAGAACTCTGCTGGCTGCGGATCACACATAAGATGCAGCTCGTCTAAGTCCCCTTGTCAACCACGCCGCTGCGTCCACAAGGCCACTAAATATATATATGCCCGTACGACAAAATCTACATCAAGTGTAGTATGAGTACAAAAATAACGCGTACCGAGTAAGCATCCAGTCTAACCTCGAAGAAGTAGTGATGAGGGGTCGACTTCGACACTAACTAGTGGTCCAACAATATCAAGTACCGTAGAGAAGTTAATAAATATGAAACCGAGTAAATATATAAAATAAACATGTTTATAATACGTGGTATAATTCCCCTCTTTACAATTTTACTCAAGCTCTCAACCAGCAAATTTCCTCCGTACCGTAACCTGAGCTTTTATATATATATATATATATATATATAGAGAGAGAGAGAGAGAGAGAGAGAGAGAGAGAGAGATATGATACTAATAGTAATTAGTTTAATATACATGGGAGCTTAATGCATATAGTAAATAGGTGGATCTAGAACTTGGTTCGATTGTTAAGATCCTAATACTTTAAAATTATTAGTTCATATCTAATGTATGTTGAATTTTTTTTAAGTTTTCACATAAATATCTATACTAAAAGATATTGGGTCAGATGAACACGTCACCGAAGTTCTGGATCTGCTCCTGATTGCAAAATAGAATGATCAAACAAAGTAAAACAAAGTTGAGAATATAGAAGAAAGGAAAATCTTGATGGTAGATTATAGCTAATGCTACATATATATGTACAGCAGAACAAAGCATAAATAGATATACAAAAAGGTTAAAAAGTTTATGGCATTCGTGTATCTGCTCGGATTTACAATTAATGGAATAGATACTAATTAAAAAGTTATCTTTTTTTCCCCGCATAAAGTATTCATTGTAGTAATATTTATACAAACAATAATTAACATAACATAACACCTTAAATTTTACATTAATATGGAGAATATCAATATATCAACTCACAAAATATATACGAAAAAGAAAAGGGAAAAGAAATTTGCATTAAAAAAAAGAATTGAACTGACCAACTCGAGGAAAGACAAAAATGCTCGTTTGGGTAACAGTGAAAACAAAGAATTATGCTTTCTAGAATATACTCTTTAATAAGAATGTAGGTCCCACCAAAGATTTTGTTAAACTCATAAAGAGTATTGGGCCCACGCGCCTAACTCTGAAAGCAAGGAGCGTGTGGACAGATCATACAGCCGTCCAAGCCGACTGGTGGAAGTAAAGAACAAGCATCATTGACCCCGATGTTGGCGGCTGCCTATTATCTTCTGTCAATGGGTCCAACTAGTCTTTCTGAATTTGAAAATAAAATGAGAGGAAAAAGAAGTGAAGGAAAATTGTTTTATTTTTTTCCTGTTTGACAGAGTTAAAAAGGGAGCAAAAATGTAAAAAGTTTATGTACCTTTATATTAAATATGTCAGGTCAGTAGAAAGTTCTTGCCATCTTTCTTTCCCATGCTTTTAACACAGATCAGTAGTTGTTTCATCCCTATTAAAGGTGATATTGTCATCGATGGTGGAACAATATTTTCATTAAGGAAATTTAAAAAATAAAATACGTAAATATATATGAAGAAGCTAAAAGTATTCAAAATCTAATATATATATATATATATATATATATATATATATATAAAAATTAATCTTTTATATAAAGTAAAATTTTCGATGAAGAGAATACGGTTGAATCCCTTTTTGCCCACCTATCTCTCTTTGATTATCACACTACATAAGACGAAGATCGACGAGTTGTCTGCTTTGTGATTTGCAAACGGATTTACCATCATCCATGAACAATTTGGCTGGAGTTTCAGAGGGAGAAATAATCCGCTCACGATGCGTGGAAAGTAGGGGAAGAGTCTGATTCAAAAGCGTCTGTGATAAATTACGTCGAACTGAAGCACTTAAGAAAGAAGCTGATAGCTTTTGGTTTTATGTTTATGCTATTTGCCTTATTAGTAAAAAATGAAAGAGTCATACAATTGTTTGAATCCTCATTTACGCGACACATTAAACATTTATACTGTATTTATCATTCGTCGCTATACTTTCAGCAAGTTTACTATTCGTAGCTATATTGGAATTTTATAGCAAATTTATGAAACAAGATTTTTTTGAACTGAAACAAGAGAGTAACAAGTTTTCGTAGCTTGGTTGGTTAGAGTGCCCGCTCAGTTAGCGGAGGTCTTGAGTTTGCTGCTTAACAAGAGTATATAATTGCGCGAATAAATACAGTTGATAAATATTGTATTCATTGTGTGAATGAATAAAATTGCGCGAACAAATACAGTTGATAAAGGTTGTATTCATTACGCGAACGAATACATTTAACACAAGTTATATCCGTTGCGCATTTGAATACAAGTGATACAAATTACTAACAATTGAACAGTAGCTACGAATGGTAATTAAACAAATTATAATTTTTAGGCTCTAAACTATAATGCTTGAAAATTCCTCGTAAGTTAATAACGTTTAAAATTTTGTTAAATTTAAAAATTAACATAAATTATATAAGCGATAAACATTCTTTAAAGTTCGTATTTATTTTCCTATTGAATACATATATGTCAAAAACAAAAATTTAATTCTCCATGGAGCCATATAATCATAAACAAAATTCTCTCCTCCATATTCTATTCTTTCATACTGAATCTGAATGAAAAATTAGAGAAAATGAAAGATTTAAAAAAAAAAAAAATAAAAAGGGGAAAAACGTCAGTACCTACAAAGTTCTGCTAAATTTTACGGGGCAAAATGTGAAAATGACGCGCCATAGTTGAAAGTGAGGATACAGAGCGTTGACGTTCAACAAAGGAAAGCCAGCATATATGGAAGGGGAACAGGAAACCCTATTTGCAGGGGAGAAATTTTAATTTTTAAACATTTCCATTTCCTCCCATTTTCATTCATTCCCCGCCGTTTGTTTCACATTTTCTTTCTGCATACAACCCCAACTAAACCCTTCAAAAGTTTCTTCTTTTTCAGCTCTTTCTTTCTTTCCAAACACCAAAAATCTCCTTTTGTTTCCTTCCCTTTCTCAAAGCTGCTCTCTTTCTGTGCTTCGTTCGATCGTTTCTTATCATTTTACTCTTCAATCTTCAATTTAGAGTCCTGATTTTTTGTGGGTTGATAGTTTTTACGTCTATTTGGGAGGTAATATTTTCCATGTTTTCTATTTTTAATTTACTTTATTGTGATTTATATTTATTGAGGTTAATTTTCTGCAAGATTCCTGAAAATTTCTCGTATCAGAATTATATCAAGTGACTACCAGCTGATATTGTTTTTTTTTTCTATTCTTGCAAATAAATATTCTATTGAGGTGGGTTTGTATTAGATATGAAATCTCTGATTAAATTCACTTTCTGTTGAATCAAAAAGATGGTATTTTGATTCAGTTCTATGAGTTCTTGATTGAATATCTTAGGTTGGTTTTTGAACTGTAGCTTTAGCCGCTCTGATTTTAGTTTGATTGCTTTGTTATTTGGTTGGTTTTGTTTGGTTAAATTGATTATTTATGTGTATTGTTTGCTGCTTTTAGGACTAAATCAAAGTTCTGAAACTTTGATTTTGGACTCTTGTAGAGGTAGCTCTTTCTGGAGTAGAAACCATGGGGAAGCCCACTGGAAAGAAGAAAACTCAAGTGGCATCAAAATCTAGTGATGCAAATGTGAAACATGGTAAATCTGTTCCAGAGCGTACCTCTAAAGCGATCGATGAGGACACTGCTGTATTCATCAGTATGTCTCAAGAATTGAAGGAAGAAGGAAACAGGCTCTTTCAGAAACGTGATCACGAGGGTGCTATGTTGAAGTATGAGAAGGCTCTCAAGTTGCTTCCCGGGAACCATATTGATGTTGCCTATTTGCATACTAACATGGCTGCTTGCTATATGCAAATTGGCCTTGGCGAATACCCAAGAGCAATAACTGAATGCAACTTGGCGCTTGAAGTTGCTCCAAAGTATAGTAAAGCTTTGTTGAGGAGAGCCAAGTGTTACGAGTCATTGAATAGGCTTGAATTGGCTTTAAGAGATGTGAACCGTGTTTTGAGTATTGAACCAAATAATTTGGCTGCATTGGAGATTGCAGACCAGGTTAAAAAGGCAATGGAAGAGAAAGGTCTGAAAATTGAAGAACTAGTATTACCCCAAGAATCTGTTGAGCCCCCTACTGATCCAGTTTCTACCAAGGTTGTGAAGGATAAGTCGAAAAAGAAGAAGAGCAACAAATTTGAGAGAAAGAAAGTTTTGGAAGTTGAGGAAAAGAAGGTTGAGGAGGTCGGAGAAAAGAAGGCTGAGGACAAGGTGGTTGTGGAGGAGAAGAGAAGTGTTAAGGAAGAAAAGATGGTGACGAGAACGGTCAAATTGGTACTCGGGGAGGATATTAGATGGGCACAATTACCAGTTGGTTGCAGTATTAGACTGGTGAGGGACATAGTTCTAGATCGATTTCCAAACTTGAAGGGTGCACTTATCAAGTATAGGGATCAAGAAGGTGACCTGGTTACTATCACTACTACTGATGAGCTTAGGTTGGTTGAATCATCTGCTGGTTCTCAGGGTTCTTTAAGACTCTATGTTGTAGAAGTTACTCCAGATAAAGAACCTGCATACGAGGGAATGAGTGGTGAAGAAGATGTGAACTCCAGCAGTAACAAATCAACTATAGTCACAGAGGATGGACATGTTGAGAAAGAAAGGGAACTGAATAAAGGGACAACTTGTGTTGAAGACTGGATTGTCCAATTTGCAAGGATTTTCAAGAATCATGTCGGCTTTGATTCCGACTCATATCTGGATCTTCACGAGATAAGTATGAAACTATACTCTGAAGCTGTAGAGGACACTGTTACAAGTGAAGAAGCACAAGAGCTTTTTGAAATTGCTGCAGCTAAGTTCCAAGAGATGGCAGCTTTGTCTTTGTTTAATTGGGGAAATGTTCATATGTCCAGAGCAAGGAAGCGGGTATACTTTACTGAAGAGGGTTCTCGGGAGTCTATATTGGAACAGGTTAAATCTGCATATGGATGGGCAAAAAAAGAATATGAAATGGCAGGAAGTAGGTATGAAGAAGCTCTTAGGCTCAAACCAGATTTCTATGAAGGCCTTCTTGCAGTTGGTCAACAGCAGTTTGAACAAGCAAAACTCTCCTGGTACTATTTGATTGGAAGTAAAGTTGAGTTAGAGACAGGGACATGTGCAGAGATCTTGGAGCTTTATAACAAGGCTGAGGATAGTATGGAAAGAGGAATCGAAATGTGGGAAGAGATGGAAGAACAGCGTCTTAATGGACTCTCCAAAAATGAAGAATATAAAGCACTGTTGCAGAAAATGGGATTGGATGATCTACTAAAAGATAAACCGGCTGAAGAAGCTGAAGAGCAGGCTGCAAACATGAGGTCCCAGATTTACCTCTTATGGGGTACCATACTCTATGAACGGTCCGTGGTGGAATTTAAGCTGGGATTACCAACTTGGGAAGAATGTTTGGAGGTTGCAATGGAAAAGTTTGAGCTAGCTGGAGCATCTCAAATTGATATCGCGGTTATGATAAAGAACCACTGTTCCAATGAAACTGCTCTTGAAGGTATAATGTCAACAATTTTTTTTATTTTATATTTTGCTACTTCACATAATTTTCTTAATGCTGAATTAAGTGATATCATTTTCTTTACCATCTTGCGCCTCTTTCTCCAGGTTTCAAGGTTGATGAGATAGTACAGGCATGGAAAGAGATGTATGATACTAATAGGTGGCAGACTGGGGTGCCAGCTTTCAGGCTAGAACCATTATTCCGTCGTCGTATTCCGACCCTCCATACTGTCTTGGAAAATCTTTAAGTTGATATATCTTTGATGATCATTGCATAGGAGCAAAGGATATTTGCATTACCTCTTCAATTTTGTGTGGCTATTGTTGCCAAGTCAATAGGTCAGTCAGCCTTTCCAATTAATTGGTGTTTTACAGCAAGTTCTTCATCCTTTACATGCTAGCATGACTTAATTATTTTAGAATTGGTTGAAGCACATTACGATTGTGGTAAGATAATTTTGCTGTCTATTCTGTCCTCCCTTAGAACTATTATGCAAAAACCATAAGAATGTAAATTCAAATTGTAGGGAGGAGTAAGGGAAGCAGAATATTTGGGAGATACATGTTGCTCGGGGTAGGATGTCAATTTATGTGAAGTTTCTCTTTCTTAAATTGATACATGTTACTCGGGGTAGGATGTCAATTTATGTGAAGTTTCCTTTTCACCAAATACCCTTGACCAAATTAGATTTCATGCAATGTAACAACAGCCTCTCCTAGAACCCAAGATAATCTTCCTTAAGGGTGAAAAAAATAGCTTATCATTATTCAATACTTGTTCACAACTATTAGACTGCAAAATGATTCGCACTTCAGGGTATAGCTTTGTTATGATGTTATCCATCCCATGTGGAATGGTTAGGGAATTCTTCAGTTTATTAGTCTTCCTTAGCTGATGGCTTGAAAGCTTTGGTTCGTCAGACTGAAATCTGACAACTTGTCTAGGATAGCAGTTGGAACCGTGCTATTCGCCAACAGGTATATGAGGAGGGTAAACCTGAGTGCCCTATGTTGTCTTAGACTGACTGATTATCAAAGTTTTGGCCTGATGAAGATGTCAAAGAGTTGACAAGTGATTCACATGGTTAGAATGAGTTTTCCAAGTTCCCGGCAGCAGGAGTACTGTATTTATTTCCTTATCAAAAAGATTGAGTTCACCAAGTCTCTGTTTTCTCCTTGTCTTTGGGTTTTTCAGAATTTGCCTGATAGAAAATTAAAGGATTTTGTTGCTCTGACAACTAGCTATATATCCCTTATCGACATGTTGTAATTGTTCGATTGAACTTTATCTAATTAAGGTTTTTGCACTAGCTCTTTCTGGGGGTGTATTTGAAAGCAAGACTATGGCTATGTTTCTATCAGATTGTTCTAATTTAGGACGGGGATTTTGTTAGAAGATTGTAGCTTTTATAGGTTTGCTTTTTCTGGTAAGTGCTTTTATAGTTTTCTTTTCCTTAGTAGAATAAGAATAATAATCTACTAAAGATTAGGGCCTATGAAGATCCTAGACATTGTCTCCCAACTACTTCACTACATGTAGACCAAATGATAGATCTTATCCTCTAGTGCTTTTGGTTGTAGACAAGATGTTCCCTAGTTCTTATATTGCTCATCCACTTGGGGCTTCTTACCATAATTGTCCAGCATATTTGGAGAGCGCTATAGATCCTTGAAAATGACATGACTAGCATGGCTCTTTATCTAGAGCTCTTGACTTATCAAACATGATCTTATACTTTGCCAGCAAATGAGGGCTGAACCAGTAATTAGGACTTTAAATTGTCCTATGTCTGAGTTATCCCTTTTTTTTATATAAAAAATTCCTCAGTTTGAGGTTCTTGAAGATGCCAAACTAAGTAAAATCATAAGACTTTACTTTTCTATTAGCTTCCTTTTTCTGGATTTCTTGCAACCTTATCCCCCTCTGATGTTTTGGGTGGTTTGCCTGGTGCCTGGCGAAAAACCTTTGTCAGCTAACATCTGTCTTAGCTAATTTGGATTCAATCTTGCAGAGTTTGGTGGTTCAATTGGCACAGGATTGTAGAACACTTATTTGTCATGATCTATCTTATACTTCTCTTTTTTTATTTAAAAACAAACCTTATTGTTGTTCTATCAAGAATAGGAAAAGTAGGGATCTACCTACATTATGCTCTACTTCATTCCCCTTCAGGCAAAATAGACGGGTTTTCGAGATAGTGTTTAATGGGAAAGCTCAGTCGGTTTCAGGTGAAGGAAGAGAAAACGATTTGCTTTTACGTATTTGTTATGGAAAGATAATGTCATATAGAAGGAGTACTGGCTATATAATGCGTATAAGTATTTAAGTAGTCACTTTTTATTCTTAGGCCCAGTTATCCGTAGCTTAAGCACCGATCAGATTAGTTTGTTGCAAAATCCATGAACTATCCAGTTTACTATCTTCAACATATTTTCCCTGTTATTCAAGTGGACTTTTGGGGGTCTTTAGCTTGTATTCGAAAAGTGGAACTGCACGCGTTTGAGACTGTAGATTTGGTGACACAGTCATGAGGAGCTATGCAGAATCTTATTTCGGTTTCCTTGCTGTTTTCATTGTAATATTGATATGAGTTATCCTGTATTCCTATCCAGTTCTTCAGCTGCTGAATGTGGTTCACATTTTGTTACTTTTAGCTTGTGCAATGTCTGAACTGAATTTCAGCCACAACCATCTGTGTGTAACTTTAGAAACGTCGTGTGCTTGTTATTTTATCTGCAGAAGTGGATTGCCATTTGCCTTGGTGTTGGTAGAGTCCATTCAAAAATACTCTCTGATGTTTCAATAATTAAATGCACATGTATTTTCACTGTAAACATACTCCAAATCGATGCTTAATCTTCTTACTAATTCGATTTTCTCATGTTCTCTGCAGGTTTTTTTTTGTGAATTATTTCTTCATGGTCAGTTTTTTGCTTCGGGAGCAAAGAACTGAGTGTAACAAGCACTCTGTTGGATTTTGAAGACACTTTTTTTCCATAGATGTGATTGTGAAGGTCTCTGTATCATTCATTGGTTTTTTGGTTTTGGTCATTCTTCATCACAAAGCCCACCCAAAGTAGGGTCCTTGTGATTTGCATTATTTGCATTCAGTTTTGGAGTATAGCATTATTTGTAAGATTGTTGTTGTCTGAAATAGAAAGTTATATGTTCATTTGTCTCATTCATAGACAGAATATGTACAATTGTTTGTTAGAGATGCTCCTTTCTATATTACCTTTTCAAACTATGTATAGTATATTTGTCTCCCCTAGATATCTATTATCTCCCCTCACCACAAATACCGCCGTGTGTGTACGTGAGCTTAGTATTTAGTTTTCCTACCTTTTAAAAAAAAAAAAAGTGATTATTGGTATTGAAGAGGGAGGGTGTGCTATTCCTACTCCAACTCATAGGGCTTGTTTGGTACGAGGGATAAGGGATAATGAATTCCGGGATTAAATTTGAGATAAGTTTATCTCATGTTTGGTTGGGATAAAATCGTGGTATAACTAATTCCGAGATTAGTTATCCCGGGATTGTAGTATTTTTTTATCCCTATAAAAGGGTGGAATAACTAATCCCAGGATAACTAATCCCGGGATAATTAATCATGGGATAACTTGTTTCCCAACCAAACGACCCCTTAGTCGGTGGATTAGTACAAGCGAAAAAAATAAAGAGAGTATTAGCTAGCGCTTGGTCATAGATTCCCAAATTTGTTTTGAAAAATCTGATTTGGTGAAGTTTGGTTGGAAGATGAAAATGTATTTGGACATCAGTTTTCAAAACATATTTCACTTTTTTTTTTTTGAAAAAACATGAAACATGACTTATACCTACAAGTTCTAAAAACTATCACAAATATCCAACAGTATCTTTGTCACGATCCAAATCTTCCTCCGTAGGAGGTCGTGATGCCACCTAGTCTTAGGGACTAGGTAAGCCTAATATTAACTGAAATAACAATAATATTTAACTAACATCTCACAATTTCGAAATAGAAATCTCTACACAAATTTACAATCCCAAAACCGGTAGTACAAGTCATAACCTCTACAGAGTTTGCTAGAAAACCTCTAAATACAACTGTTTTGAAATAAGGATAAACAGTGTAAATACAAAATTAGAAGGTGACTCCAAAGCCTGCAAACGCAGCAGCAGGTTTACCTTGAGTCTCCACATCAATATCTGTACAGTTAGCTAACGATCGACTGACTCCGAAATACCTGGATCTGCACAAAAATTATGCAAAAGCGTAGTATGACTACACCACAGCGGTACCCAATAGGTATCAAGACTAACCTCAGTGGAGTAGTGACTAGGAACAGTCAAGACACCTACTGGACTAAATAACCTGACAAGTATAAGTACAAAACAACAGAGTACAATATCTATATAAAGACTACGCATAATGACGAGGATAATATGGTACTTGCAATAAGAAATAGAAACAACAACTAGAAACGGAACACAACAGGTAATAGCACAATAAAGTAAGCTGAACACAGTCCAAATCTGGTGATCATAATTAAAAGAAGAACAAGTAGCGACTAGATGAGAGTAACCACTTTCACATGGGATTTTATCCAATAATCATCACGAGGTACCCAACCTCAGAATATCCACAAGTTACGGGTCCCACTTCATGAACCCTAGACACTTGGCATTTTGTGCCCTCATTTAAACTAGTAACGCACGGACGACGCTCGTGCCAATCAAACCATTCTCACATAGAAAGCAAGTAGACAAGGGTGTGCATCAATACTCAACAATATCAGGACCCATCCTCTTAAACCGATAGGAGTGATTAACTACGTGTATGCTTGTGTAAGTGTCCTAATATAGTTCATGTCAACTAGTAAGCATAGAGAAAATGGACAACACGTAAGAAGGTTTTCCCAAAATGATTCACAAGATAAAACTCACACAGGTAGGTAGACCACTACACAATATCAATGACAAAAGAATGCCCCCAGGCCATCACAAACAAATCCCCGACATAGCCCACCTTGTCTCACCACGTGTGTAATAATAAAGTAAATGCCCGCCTTGTCTCGCCATACGTGCATAATAACATTCCCACCTTGTCTCGCTACATGCGCAACCCACACATATATAGCCAGCGTTGTCACGCCGCGTGTGCACTTATCGATAGTAACAATAGCACGGTAGAAACCTCGTGCAAAACAATCACAACCGCACAGCAGAAACCTCGTGCATCACAATAACAACCGCACGGCATAAACCTCGTGCATCACAATACTGAGTACAACAGCAACCAAGACAATAACAAAAGAGTATGGCAAGTAAATCAACTCAAGATCTTTTGATCACAAAGAAACGGTAGAACTAGTTCACAAGAATAAACACAATAGAGAATATTAGTCATAATAAGAATAACTCAACAAGGGAGAAATAATACGTAACAACGACCCCACAAATTACAGCTTAACAATGAGGGAGATAACACGAGTCAATAATTCCAAATAAGGATAAGTCAACCAAGATATAGGATATCCAAACTTCTTTTAAGGTTGAGCAAATCATGAAAGAGATACAACAAATTCAATCAAGGATAAGCAGCGGAAATATAATCATAACCTCAATTAAGGACGAACAATTACAGAAGAGATAATTATACTTTCAATTAAGGAGAAACGATTACGGAGAGATATCATGGCAATAGAAGTGGTAACAACTTCAGTTAAATCATATAAGAGTCAAATAGGCAATAAGAGTAGATCATGAAACAATTAATTGCAATTAAAGAAGCTAGTCAAATAGAGATGAAGCTAGTAAATAGGAAAACTTAATCATAACAAAAACAACTTCATACTCAGTGAATATAAGGACCTAAGAACCCTAAAGGCCAAGTTTCCACAAACAAGCCCGAGCACGTACTCGTCACCTCGCGTACACGGACTTCATATGATACAATTAGCATAGTGGACTCAAATCCTAAGGGGTAGTTTCCCCACACGAAGTTAGGCAAGATACTTACCTCAAAGAAGATAGACTGTTACTCTAAAATGAACTTCTCGGGTGAAATAACCTCCGAACGGCTCAAATCTAGCCAAAATAGCTTCAAAGCATAAATAAAACTCATAAGAAACTATTCCGGATCATAAAGCCTCAATCTTTATCAAAAACTAAAAATCAACCCAAAAGTCGACCCGGGATCGCACCTCAAAACCCGACAAATTTCACAAAATTCGAACACCCATTCTGATACGAGTTCAACCATACTATAATTATCAAATTTCGATACCATTTCGTCCTTCAAATCATCATTTTACATTTTGAAAGTTTTCTTCAAAATCCCCATTTTTCCTCAACTCAAAACACTAATTTAATGATGAAAATAAAGATAAAATTATGGAATATAATAAATTCTAGGCGAAGAACACTTACCCAGTCGATTTGTTTGAAAAACCCACAAAGAATCGCTCAAAACCGAGCTCTAGAACTCAAAAAATGTAAAAAATGGCTAACCCTCGGAATAGAGTACTTTATATTTTGCACAAGTGTTAAAGCATCGCGATCGCGAAAAGGTAATTGAGATCGCGAAGAGGAAATGACCACTGCCCAAATTGATGCTACGCGATCGCGTACAGAAGGGTGCGATCGCATACAGGAAAAGCTGATGGCCCAGGAATTGAGCTATACGAACGCGAATGAGGAGAAAACACACTTACGCGTATAGAAGAATGCGAATGCGTAGAGTAAGTATCATCTACCCCAAAGTAACACTAGCGATTGTAGATGGATGGATGCGAACGCGGTTAAGGAAACCAGATATCAGAAAACAGCAGTCCAAAAATAGAGGGAAATGGCCTGTAGCCCATCCGAAACACACCCGAGCCCCCCGGTACCCCGTCTAAACACATCAAAAAGTTCCATAGCCTAACACGGACTCGCTCGAGGTCTCAAATCACATCAAACAATGTCGAAACTATGAATCACACCATGAATCGAACTTATGACCTTTCAAATCTTCAAATTTCTAAAACTCGCGCCGGAATCTATCAAATAAATCCGAAATGACGTCAAATGTTGCAGGCAAGTCCCTAATGACATAACGGAGTTGTTCCAACTCTCGAAATCGCATTCTAACCCCGACATCACCAAAGTCAACTCTTGGTCAAATCTCTCAACCTTCCAAACTTCAACTTTTCCACCTTTCGCTGAAATGCTTCAAATCACCCTACGGACCTCCAAATCCAGATCCGGATGCGCGCCTAAGTCCAAGATCACCATACGAAGTTGCTGGAATCATCAAAACTCCATTCCGGAGTTGTTTACACAAAAGTCAAATTCCGGTCAACTCTTAGCGCTTAAGCTTCCAAAACTAGAATCCTTCTTCCAAATTGACTCTGAATCATCCGGTAACTGAACTCAACCACACCCGCGCATCATAACACATAATATGAAGCTGCTCAAGGCCTTATGCCGACGAACATGACGTTAATTTTCAAAACGACCGGCCGGGTCGTTACAATCTTCATCAATAACATTCATTATATTATCACAAACCATAGTTCTGAATATAAATAAATTTGGTACAAAATTATCATTTTTATAATAAACTACATAATACACTATTAGATGACCGAGAAGGCGAAGCACCATTGTTATAACATAATAAATGGTGGGCTCTTTTATAAAATAAAAAAGTTTGAGGCAGTTTTTAAAAAATGTAATAATAATATTTTGGGCCAAGAGCTGGTTTTGGGATTTGGGTTTGGGAATTTGCCAAAATATGAATAAAATTTATTAACAAATATGTATCTGCCAAAAAAAAACTTGGAAAATTTTTGGCAAAATCTATGGCCAAACGAGTCCTTAGTATGCTAAATTTTTTATTTTTAATTTTTAATATGGGAAGTGGTGCAGTAATTGGTAAATTAGATAACCGAGGGTATCATTGACTTGATGAATATAATAAATAATTATTCCTTTAAAATATTAATTTTATCTTGGCACTTAACTCATGATAATTATGATACTAATAAAACTAACATACCTTTGATTAGTACTTTCCTCATTATGCACTCCTATTTAATTAACCAAGATTAGTTGACAATTGAAGTAGCCTGCTTCGCAGTTCTTTCTAGGGACCAAGTTATGTCTTACCAATAATTATCGGTTCAACTAATATTGTTATATAGCCATATAATTGAAGCATTGCTCTATTATCAACACAATAATATAAGCCTTACTAAAATAAAATAAAAACCAACACCATTATTTA